CATCAAGATCCAACTCTTTTTTAGCATTTTGCATGCGATCCAGCACGCATCACACGTCCATACTTCGAACTTTAGGTGGCTGCGCGCATTCGGCCGATCTGCTGTCTTGGGCCTTTCACTGCGTTGTCCTGGCTGTTCCACGCCTTGAGGCGACTCGTCTAGACCTCCAGCGCCCCGCCTCGCTCTGGCTGCGCACTGAACCGCACTGCATTGTCGAACAAACGTCTTCCACACGCTATTCTAGCTTTCCACGCACGAGGACGTCCGATCTCGCCATTCTGGTCATTCTGTGCCTGAGCCGAACTGTCCGCGTCCGAGCTGCTGCCGAGTCGAGTTAGATATGATTTCGGGTATTTTTGTCATTTTTTCGATTTTCTGATCCTTTTTTGGCTCCTTTGGTGCAGATTAGGAGGTTCATCTTTTCTTACTAGGTATTTTTTTCATTATTTTTAATATTATATATAAGATGCAAGAATAAAAACTGCGAGTATTACTAGTTTTAATAACATTTCATTAGAAATCAGTCTCATAAAGCTTGATGGAACTAATTATCTTGCTTGATTGAGATATTATTTATTGTTCATCAAATTTAAAGGATTGTAATATTACATTACTAGTGAGGTGAAGAAACTAAATGTTGGTTGTTTAGAATATAATAGATGAGACTTTGAGAGCTTCTTGGTAATGCCATGACTCATTAATTTCATGCAACTCTATATTGTCAGCACATATCTGTTGCTTAACATTGCCAAAATGATATGAAATGTAACATTTTTACCATATTCACAGATGAATAATGACACTCAGATTTATGAACTTCAGAATAAAGTTTATGCCACAAAGTAAGGAGAAATTACTATTTTTCAATATTTTTCTGAACTGAATGGATTATGACAGGAGTTAGATTACTATCATGATTTTTCAAGCAGATTGTCTTGCAGATGCACTTAAATTTTAGAAACTGATAGAAAGGAAGCAGATTTATGATTTTTTAGCTGATCTGAATGCCGAATATGATCAAATACGAGGTTAGATGTTTGGTAAGGATTTTTTTTCCTCATTAGAACAAATTTATACTTATGTCCAGTAAGAAGAAACTAGAAGAAATGTCATGCTTCACGTTGTACCAGTTGAGAAGACTGGATTAGTTGTTTAGTCTGATCAATTTAGAGATATAACGGAAGTATGACTATTGTGGTAAGCCAAAACACACTATGAAAACTTCCTGAAAGTTGCATGGAAGACCAATTGGAGGTCAGGGAGGAAGAAGATATGGAACCACAAGAGCTCAAACAAATTTTGTTGAAACCAGGGAAACACCTGGCTCACCATCCGATGCAGTTTTTTCCACAAAAAAAATTCAAAACCTGAAGCTTCTTTTAAGTCAACTTAACTCTTCATCAACTGTTAGCACATCAAATATGATAAAATCAAGTATTACTCATTTCTATCATATTTCCACTCCTGATAATTGAATTATAAACTCTGTAGTTAAGAAACACATGACAACCTCTTCTAAAGAATTTTTAACCTATTTTTTTGTATTGAAGATGACAATGTTCATATAGTAGATGGGTCATACACCACTGTATCATAAACAGATTCCATTAATTGTCTCCCCTGTTAGTACATTGTCTTCAGTTTTATATGTACTTAGTTTTTATGATAATTTTTTTATATATTATTGGCATAACTAGAGATCTCAACTGTAAAATTAATTTTTTTCTTGATCATTGCGTCTTTAAGGATCTTCAAACCGGGAAGAGGATTGACACTGGTAGATTGTAAGATGACTTACATGTCTTAAATAGACAACATAATTTAATTGGGAATTAAGCTACCATTAGGAATAAAGAAATTAATATAGAGATACTACAATAACACCGACGATTGGGACATTATTTTTTTTTTTTATTTTAGAAAAATTATATCATATTTTATTTAAAAGAACTCTATGGAGTCTTTGTTTTGTGATGTATGCCAATTTACTAAACATAAAGATGAGCTCTTATCATTTAAGTAATAATAAAAGTACAATCTTTTTATGACTATTCACTATGATGTGTGGGGACCTACTCAAAATATCTATTTTTCTAGTCATATATGGTTTGTTACTTTTATTGACTGTTGTAAATATGATGTATTTTCGTATTTTCAATCATTTCATAAAATGATATGTACGCAGTTTGCTGCTGAAGTTAATATTCTGAGAACTGACAATGGTACATAATATATAAATAGTGGGTTTCGTGCATATGTGGAATCAAATGGGATAATTCATCAACAAGTTATACCTACACCAATGAACAAAATAGGGTTGCTGGAAGGAAAAGATAGACATATAGTGTAGGTAGCTCGGTCATTAATATTCACTATGAATCTACCAAAGAGTTATTGGCGAGATGCAGTTATCTCAATTGTCTATCTTATCAATAAAATGTTTTTGCGGATTCTGAATTTTAGAAGTCTTATGGAGGTTTTGTAAAGAAAAAATTCTTACATTGTTCCCCCAAAAGTGTTTGCATGTGTGTGCTTTGTTCATGTTAGAAATGTGGGTAAACTAAAACTTAGAGTTGTTATGTCTGTATTTGTTGGATATTCTTCTACCCAAAAAAATTACTAAGTGTTATCATCCACCGTTTAAAGAGTACTTTGTAACTATGGATGTTACCTTTAAGGAAAACGAGTCTTCAACTCAAACCCAATGCCTCTTCAGGGGGAGAGTGAGAAGAAATAAGTGATATCTAATTGGGTAACAATTGAAAGTCATATTCAGGGGGAAAGTTCTATTGCAAAAGGTTTTACTCAAGAAGATAATGTTAGACGTTTGGATAAACCAGACTTGAAAAGGTATTCAAGGAGAGAGAAGTCAGAAAAAGTCATTATGCACTCTGTCCCAGGTCAAGAATCTTCTCTAGTTCCAGAAGATACTAGTGAGTTATCTTTCTGTTGTGATTTAACAAATAAACCTATTGCTATTAGAAAGGGAATGAAAACTTGCACTAAACACTTTATATCTAACTTTGTTTCTTACGACTCTCTATCTCCATCCTATAGAGTTTTTGTGTTATCTGTTTCTTCTTTGTCTATTTCATAGGATTGGAGAGAAACTTTAGGAGGTCTTAAGTGAAAGGAAGCCATGATTGAAGAAATGAAGCATTGACCAAAAAATGAAATATAGAAACTTGTTTCACCTCCATGGAAAAAGAAAATAGTTGATTGTAAATGAGTGTTCAACGTAAAACACAAAGCGACAGATTGATTGAAAGGTACAAAGTTAGATTGGTGGGTAAAGGATTTACTCATACCTATGGAATTGACTATCAGGAGATTTTTGCAGCTATTGTGAATATGAACACAATTAAGATATTTTTGTCTTGCGCAGCTAACCTTAATTTGTATCTATAATAGTTTGATGCAAAAAATGTATTCTTCCATGGACACTTAAAGGAAGAGGTGTACATGCAAATTTCATTTGAATTTGAAGATAGGAAGACGTAAAGAAAAATTTGCAAATTAAAAAAGACTTTATATGGATTGAAGTAATCTCCAAGAACATAGTCTGAATGGTTTGAAAGAGTTATGATCTTTTCTGGATATCAATAAAGTAATGCTGATCATATCTTATTTATTAAATATCGTGAGGGTAAGGTCATTTTTCTCATTATTTGTATATATGATATTGTGGTGACTGGAGATGATACAGAGGAGATGACTCGGTTGAATGAACTTCTTGTTCGAGATTTTGAAATAAAAAATTTAAAAAAATTATAATATTTCTTGAGAATTGAAGTTGTTAAGTCCAATAAAAAAATCTTCATTTCTTAAAAAAAGTATATCTTAAACTTAATAGAAGAGACTGGTATGATGGGTTGCAAGTCAACAGAATTACCTATTGAGAGCAACTACAAACTACAAGTAAGTAGTGGTACATCAGTTGATTTGGGAAGATACCAGAGGCTAGTTGAACGACTTATTTATCTCTCACATACCAGACCTGATATAACATATACAGTTAGTCTAGTGAGTTAGTACATGCATGATCCTCGTGAGACTCATTTACATGTTGTCTTTCGCGTATTACAATACCTGAAGTTTACATCAAAAAAATGTCTGTTTTTTGCTGAGCATGGTCACCTTACAATAGAAGCATTTACAGATGTCAATCGGGCTGGATCTTTAGATGATAGAAGATCAACTACAGGTTGCTGCACACTTGTAGGAGGTAACTTGGTCACGTGTAAAAGTAAGAAGTAAAGTATGATTGTCCGCTCTAGTGTTGAGACAGAATATAGAGTAATGACCCAAAAAGTATGTGAATTACTATAGTTGCAAAAGTTAATGATGGAATTTAAATTGCTTAAAGATAAAAGACTATTCTTGTTTTGTGACAATAAAACAACTATTAATATTGCTCATAATCCAATTCAATATGACAGGACAAAACATATTGAAACTGATCGATGTTTCATAAAAGAAAAGGTGGTTGGTGACTTTCTATGCTTATATAATGTATTTTCTGGCGACCAAGTGGCTGATATTTTCACTACAGGATTATACAATAAATCTCTTTAGAACCTGATTTGCAAGTTGGGCATGTATGATATATTCGTGACAACTTGAGGAGGAATCAACTTGATAAGGATTTCATACTAAATAGAATATTATGCTAAATAAGATATTCTATTAGTTAGAGTTACTAATAGTAAAATTATATTTTATAATTAGAATTCATCTGCAATAAAGGTAATTATTTTAGATATATTTTCATCTGCAATAAAGATAATTATTTTATATATATTTTCTAAGTATAAACACAAAACATAAGAAATAAAATTAATAGTTTAAATTTCTTCAAAAATCTTCAATTAGGTGCCTCAGTTTTCTAAGGATTGGCTTGTCCAAGAAAGATCTTTGGGTAGTTTCTGTTGTTAAATGAGATCAGTTTTCTTGCAAAGTAAACAGGGGAAACTGCTGCCTGGATGCCTAGGAAGTTAAGACACCTGATACTGGGGAAGAAAATTGGTATATATCTAAGGCTATGTTTGGAATAAATCCAGATGTGGAATTAATGTGCTTACACTTAAGTTTATCTAGGATAGGTCCAAACTATTTTCAAATGAGAAAAAATGAATTTATTATAGAACTAGGTATAAATTTACAATGGCTCGTTTAGGAATTCTGAGTTTGTTCCACATATAACCTAAAGGAACTTGTATCAAGCTGTGGTATAGATCCTCTTTTTCACTTTTATGATTTCTGAAAGTCAAATGTTACAGAGTTCCAATAATTTACTGAACCATAAGCGTAGACTACTTGGACTAAATGTAATGGTAATTAGAGTGAAAAATTATGTTAACTTGGCAAGTGATCCGAAAATGAACTATTGTTGTTTGCATAGGTGAAGTGCTATTGGGAGGATTAGTGGATCAGAATACTGATATATGAAGTGATTTTGTTGCTTATGTTATACAGGGATGGGTTGCATCTGACAGAAGAGGGCAACGCGGTGGTGTACCAGGAAGTTATGGAAGCATTCAGGGAAGCATGGTTTGATGCTGAGGAATTGCCATTTGATTTCCCTCATCACTCCAAGATTGATGGAAAGAACCCTGCGAAAGCTTTTCAAGAACAAAGCCAATGTTAGGATTATTACTCCCTTTTCACTTGTTACCCTTAAACACTTTAACCACGCCACGTCTGTGATTCTTGCTCTATACACAATACATACATGTAATAATGTTTGATTTTGCCCTGAAGAGTAAATAGGGTTTTACTCGCCAATTGGACATTTTGAGGTTCTTTTCTGCATAATCCACTCCTTTATTTTTAAATGTGTGCATATCGGATGGCCCATGAATGTTTGAGTTTCTTCAGCTCTTCTCAAAAGTATGAGATTCTTTTCAATCCCTAATCAACTATTATGTATATATATATGTTAAAATTTATTGAATATATATATATATATTTTTTTTTAATGTATAATATATTGTTATATTGCATCCTGGTTGTTGAATTTTTAATTTTCTGTTAAATTACTATCACACTTTGAATTTTTTCATGGTTGGAACTTAAACTTTTACAGTTAAAAAGTAGTGTGATAACTTATAAAATAAAATTATATTTTAGACATATTAACTGAAGTCCTCCGCTCATTTAGTTTGGTTCCTTCAAATTTCTCTTTTGCAACAAATAGTGAGCATCCAAATTATTTTCCCTTTGTAAAGAAGACAAATCACATTATAAACAATTAGACAGTAGTGATTGATTCGTACCTCCCTTCTTTGATCTTTCCATGAAGATGATAGTAGTTAGTATATAATAATAATAAAATAAATAAAAATCCTCAATAAAAATGATTTTGAGACACTAATTATTTTAAAATATTATTGTTCTTATTTTAAAAATATACAACACACTTTACATTCTGATGAATAAAAATATATAATTTAAAATTTATATTATTGCTCCAGTTGCTACAACTATTTTCTTTGGGGCCAATGATGCAGCTCTGTTCGGAAAGGAGAATCTCAGGAAAATTGTTAACCACTTTGAAGGTCTTTTTTTTTTTTTTTTTTTTTTCTTTTTAACATTTATTCAATCGGTTTGGTATGATGATTTTCACAAGTTAAATATATCCATTCTATACTTCCCATGTCTTCTAATTTGTGTCCTTTGGTACTTGACTGATTTATTTTTGCAAATGACATAATAACTTGATTGCATATGTAAAAATTGAACAATAGAATGGACAAAAAAGATATGACATACCACATTAGAAAGCGTTTGGGTCCTGTCCTTCATAACCTAACTATTCTCCATGTTAATACCATTATGTAGGTACTCTTTTTTTCACAAACACTTATATCTTTCCATCTCATCTGGTTCTCTCTCTCTCTCAATTTTGTTAATAAAGAAAGGAAAATGCGTGTATGAGCTCTTACTAGGAATGAAATTTTGAGTTGAATTGAGATGAAAGTATGAATTCTAAATATTTCTCTCATTAGTTTTAGTTACATGGTTTTAATATATATGATGTTGAACTGCTGTTGCCTTAATTACCATTGACAACCTATTTGTCATTCTGACAAGAGATTTTGTGCGCAGGAATGCTCACCTACAATGCTAGTTGTTCTAATAACTCCACCACCAGTTGACGAGGAAGGGCCAAAAATTTATGTGCAGTAAGATATTTGTTATTTCCTGTTCTGCTTCCTCCTTTTTGTATCATTTACATCTTTTACGTTCCCCATTTTTTAAGAAATAATTTTTCTTTTTAGTGTTTTTTTACTATCTTATTTTTGCAATCCTTTTTTCAAATAAGCATCACTTACATCTCCTTTATGTTTTTGCATGTGTGCTGTTTCTCTACCTTTCCTTTGAAATCTGCAAATGAGAAGTTCACATTCAAAAACTAGGTTTTCTTATTAGAACTGTTTACTTTTTAGACTTGTGTAGTCCTGAAACCTTAGATGAATTATTGCACTAAGTGCTTTCACTAATTTATTTCATTTTGATACATTTAATATGACTTCTTGAGCATATTATTGATAGCGCTTTAAGCTGTTTATGCCCTTATTCCCATACCTAGCTCTGTACCATCATCAACTCACCTTGCATTTGACCACTTCTGCTGCTCTTTGTTTTTTCACCTTGTGTTCTTTTGTAATGCATCTCTCTTTGCCATCATCCGGAGTGCTTTATGATCAGCCTGTCATCAAAGCCTGCCATACTCTTAAGTCTAATGATACTTTGCATAATATCAACCTGCCCAGCAATACCACCACCGTACCATCTTTGCTAGCAATGATGTACCTCCACTTAGCTTTCGGACTTCTGCTTCAAACACCGCATCTTTTATTACATTAGCATTATCTTATTGCCACCACTATTATCATACTCAGGAAGACTGGAAAGAGGGAAAATCAACGAAATAATTTCTTCTCATTTTCATTCATAGTTCTCTTACAGTAGTATGATGAAACAAGCTTTTAATTGTGCATCAGATCTTTATATGGTGAAAATTCTACGAAAGAGACAGACCGGACAAATAAAATGGCAGGTGTATATGCACAGCAGTGTTTTGAGTTAGCCAAGGAACTGGGTCTGTTCTGCGTCGATCTGTGGTCCAAGATGTAAGAAACAGAGGGCTGGCAGAAGAAGTATCTAAGGTCTGTGATAATTTATGGCATTTACTTCTAGAACATTATGAATATATATAATCATTCCTACCAGACTATCCTTGTAGATTAATTCCTTATATGAAGAGTAGAGATGCAGATGCTTGATTTTGTTGCAATGACCTTATAAGTTCAGTTTCTGTCTATCTTTTATTGTTATTTCAGACATGTTATTCCTCAAAAGTAGAAGTGGGAAAAAGGAATGAGGGAGAGATTAAATTATAATTACTGTGCCATGTTCACGGAAAAGTTACATTTAGGGACGGAACTCGTATCAAGCTGGGGTATTTTCATATTTTTTGCTTTCTTGATTTCTGAGAGTCAAATGGTAATAGAATTCCATTAATTTACTGAACCATAAGGGTAGATTACTTGGACCAAGTCTAATGGTAAATAGAGTAGAAAATTATGGTAACTTGGCAAGTGAAATGTAGATTTATCTGAAAATAAACTACTGTTGTTAGTGTAGCTAAAGTGTCATTGGGAGGATTTGTTGATCAGAACACTGATGTATGAAGTGATTTGTTGCTCATATTATACAGGGATGGGTTGCATCTGACAGCAGAGGCCAATGCAGTGGTGTACCAGGAAGTTATGGAAGCGTTCAGGGAAGCATGGCTTGATGCTGAGGAATTGCCATTTGATTTCCCTCATCACTCCCATATTGATGGAAAGAACCCTGGGAAAGCTTTTCAAGAACAATGCCTATGTTAAGATTTTAAATCCTTATTTGTTACCCTTAATCATTTAAACCACGGCACATACATGATCCTTGCTCTGTATATATACAATACATACATATAACAATATTTACTTTTGCCCTAAAGAGAAAATAGGGTTCTTTGCATTAGGGTTTTACTCGCAAATTGGACACTTTGAGCTTTTCTTCTGAATAATCCACTCTTTTATTTTTAAATGCTGTGTATATTGGATGACTCATGAAATAGATATTACATTAAAAACATTTTTATCTATTAAATAATATTAAGATCCGATTTTAATATGTAATTTACCGAACCTAAAATTTTTAAAAAATATATTAAAATTAAAATAATTTTGGAGTAGTTTGGAAAAATTTAAAAGATTAATGGTAGACATAGAATTTAAAAAACAAAGTAAAAAGACAAAAGGAATTTACAAGAAAGAAAATGTTTTGGAAGAGAGAGAAGAGAGGGAGTCCGGGAGAGAGATAGAAGAGAGTTGATGAGAGAAATGGGAGTTTTAGAGAAATGAAGAAATAAAGAGAGACTGCTTTTGAGAGAGAAATATAGGGAGAGGAATAGAGATAGCAAAGAGAAGAGAGAGAAAATTTAGAAAGAGAAAATATGAGATGTTATTCCATAAAACCTTATATACATTGTGCTTGATTTACAATTACTGTTTATAAACATGAAATGATAAATGAGAATTTTAATCAACTATTGTAATTATTCATGTACTTACAAAATCTTTATTAACCATTACAACTATTTATAATTTTTTTAGGATGTCAACAATTCATTTCCTTTGGACATCAAACGTGTCCTAAATGTTGAATTCAACTTCCAAATATTTGGTGTCCAATAATATTATTACTATTATTATAATTATATAGAGATAGTGTATATATATATATATATGTTTATTGTGCTATCAAAGAACTCCTTATAGATCTTTTTTATTATTCGGCTACTATTCATCTAGATATTGATCATTTTCACATTTTCTTTTTTCTTCATCAGATATCTCCATTATCATTACTATTTTTTCTTTGCACTAATGTCTTGGAGCATATTTTTTTCCCACATTTATGGCAATAATTATTATTTCTCAATGTTGTAAGATTTAGACTTCTCAATAGTGTTACTTTTTAAAATTTCTAAATTTTTAAAAAAATTTCAGTGATGGAAACGCTCCTTTTAGAAGAAGTTGTAGAGTGCTTTGACTTATTGTGGTGGTTGATGGCATCTACTCCTTGTTCTTACCTTAGAACAAACACAAATGGTTGATGGCATCTAATGTCAGTAGAAGTTCATTCTTTAGACCATTTGTAAAATTACAGATAAAATATTTTTTACAAAATCTAAGGTTTTTTGTTAATAACAAAGACCTCATTTCTTTAAATTTTTCTTGATACTAGATTACAGTATTTTTTTAGATTAATTTGTTGAATTCCTCCACAATATCAACTGCAGTTAATCCTTCAAACTTTGTATACAGTTCCACCTTAAATACTTCGTATCAAACATATTTAGGTCATTTGTTAATCCCTATAACCATATTTTTGTATTGTCTCCAAGATACATTGATGCTATTTTCACTTTACTGTCTTACGAGATAATGAAAATATAAAAATACTTGTTGCATCTTCTGATCCATCTTCTAGAATTTTGCCCATCAAAAATAAGAATTTCAATTTTTGGGACATGGTTACTAGCTTGATTACTTCTCTTATTCGAACTACCAAACCCAATGTCTTTGGTTCTTGGGTTTGACAATAGTCCTCTATCAATATTTGAAGTAGAGATTGAGGGACTTAGTCGAGCAGCTATTTCACCAATCCGCATTCTGCTTTACAAGATTTCGATGAATCTTTCTAGTTGTTGGCCAAACATAATCAATCATTAGTCCATTATGATTCGGGTTTGCTGTTATGATTCATACATTTCGAATCTAAAATTTAAGAATTTTTTATCCATCTCACGTATATTTTTCTCCAACTTCTATATTTTTTACTGTTCGGACACTGTCAGTTTGTTTTTATTTTTTACTATTATCACAAAACTTTTAAGAATTTCGTTAGAATCGAGCTACTCTGATACTAAATTGTTAGAATTCGGCTTTAATATGTGATTTAACATACCTAAAATTTGAAAAAAAAAATATTAAAGTCGAAATAATTTTGGGGTAATTTGGAGAAATTTAAAATATTTGGAGTAGAATTAGAATTTAAAAAATAGATAGGATAAAATCGAAATTTAAAAGAAAGAAAAGGTTTTAGAAGAGAGAGAAAGAGGGAGTTGAGGGGAGAGTCAAAGAGAGTTAGTGAGAGAGAGGAAGAAATAGAGAGAGAGAGAAAGATAAAATATTTTAGAGAGAAAGAGAGAAATATTGGGGGAAAGATGAGAGATAGAAATTTTAGAGAGAGAAAATATGAGATTTTATTTGAATTTCTTCAATTCTTATGTTGAAAGTATGAGGTTCTTTTCGTCCCTTAATCAAATATTATATATATTCAAATTTATTGTACAGCTAAAGAATATAACAAAATAATTATTACACTGTCCTGGTAGAATTTTTAATTTCATATTCATACTTGTAACACCCACCTAAAATTTTTATTTATTAATAAATATAATTTTTTAATTATTTTAATTATTTTATTATATTTTATTTTATTTTACTTTAATAGAAAAAAATTGAGTAAATTGATAAATGATTAAATTAAAAATAATTTTAGAAAAAATTAGTGAAAATTTAGGTTTTGGAAGATTTTTGAAAGAAAAATCGGAAACCAAATGTCAAAATGCAATTTAAAAAAATTGCGCCACGTCAGACGTCCGGTCAGCAGTCTCGACCAACCAGGATAGGCCAAGTGGCAGAGGCGCTAATGCGGAAGGCCACACGGGGGGAGCCACGTAGGCGATCCGCGTGCGCGCAATCAAACGACTGAGGTTTGTTCCCGCGCGCACGGACGGCTGAGAGTGAATCGCGCACAGACGGCCTAGATTAGATTGCGATGAACGGCTCAGATTCACTCTCTATTTAATCACGATCAGATGGTACATATCAAAAGCGATGGACGGTGCAGATCAAAAGCGGATTGATATAAATAACCTCATCCGCACCCAAACGCTAACCCTAGCCGCCAGTACCCCTCGCTGGAGAAGACAACCCAGCCGTCGAAGAGCCGGCCGCCGCCACCCGCCGCCGCACCGGAACCCTTTCCGACCGCCAAAAAGGTAAAAAATTTCTCTTTTGCACGAAATTCAATTTTAAACCAACTCATGGCCAAATCGGAGTGAAAGAACTGACTAATTGGCCGCCAAAGCCCGACACCGCCGCCACAGAGAATTTTACAAACCGCCTCCGATGAGACCCTTTCCGATTCTTGTTTTGTGTAATTTTTTTACTATTGTGATCACTGTTTTCATCTCTACAGGTTGACCGAAGCGAAACACCCAACCGCAATGTGAGCCAAAGGAGCCGCCGCACTGGAGAGCCCCGCCGCCAGTGAGTTTCGATTTTTCATATTTTTTCGGCCCACCGAGGCCCTTTAGTGTGTGTGCTCACAGGAATCGATGTAAAATTGATCGAATTCGACCGAAAACGACCAGCCCGAGGCGGACCGCTGCCATGTCAGATTTCCAAAATTGGCCGAGTAGGCCCTGGGACTTATTTTTTGGTTTATTTGGAACATTTATAGGTACCATAAGCGCGTTTTAGTTCCCGGAGAAAAATTCAGAGAACCCAGAGACCACCCGTAGGTGCAGTAAATTATTTAGCTTTTCGGTATCAAATCAAGTAAGGACCCATCACCCTATTTGCTATTATAGAATTGAAGTTTAAATAAAGACTAATACGGTATTTTTATAAATTAAATAGATGTGCATAATTAATTACAGATCGCTAATGAAGCTCGAACCGGACATTATTCTCGATGATTTATTTTACGGTCTAAAAGCATGATAGTATCTGACTTATCTATTTTATGGTTTAAATGCATGTATTACTACCTTACTTGACCACTGTTTGATTTTGGGATTTGAGATATGATTGCATTACTGGATGCATGTTTATTTATTTATGTGATTATATTTAATTTGATAATGGAGACTAAGGAAAAATAGGAAAGAGGTGTGATCAAATAAACAAATAGAATGACAGCCTTACTAGATATCCTGTGAGATGGTGGATGGACCGGGTACATAGGGAATCATACCGTGAACGTTGTCTCATACCGGACAGGGTATGAAGATTTGGTAATTTGGCGCTCATACCGGACGGGGTATGGGGACGGCCATGTAATTGAGGTTGTTAAGAAAAATGGTTCACATGTAGCGGGGACACCCCAATGAACCCCAATGGATGCTAATAAGCTGATGAAACGAGAAACGGTTATGATTTGGTTTATTGTTAATGAATATGAATTTATGATATGTTCTATATTGCTGATTGTGCACGAAGTTATGATCTGTATGGTATTATTGTCTCTATAGATTGTTTTCATAAATTTCACAATGGTAAGTGAACGGTAAATGATTTTATGATTGATAAACGAATTTGCTAAATTTAGTGCTCCATTAGTTATTTTGATTTTCTACCAACATTTGTTTATGTGCCAGTGATATAGTGTGATATCCTTACTGGGGTAGTGTAGCTCATCTTTATTTAACCATTTCATATCAAGATAACCTGGTTCCAGAGCCCGATCCGCAAGAAGATTGCGAGTAGATGCTAGATACTTTCTATTTTTCATTACTTTTCTTATTTCTCGTGTTTCTTTCTGAGAATTCATTCCGTAATGTTTGTTTAGTACTTTTCAGTTATTGTGTAAGAGATGTAAATGTTAACTTTTTATTTCGCTTCCGCACTTAAATTATTATATTATCTATTTTTGATTTTCGGGGTCGTTACAGTACTTTATATTCAAGTTATTAATCTCGTACCTTGAATTTTTTTGTAGTTGGAATTTAACTTTTTCTTTTTAAGTGGAAATTAAATTTTTAGTGATAAATTATAAAATAAATTATATTTTAGACATACTAATTCATTAAATCTATATTAAATGAAATTAATAAAATAAATAATAATCTATTTAATATCAATTAATAAAAAAATTATATTTTAATAACTAAAATAATTATTAATTTCGAATTGAATCCTCCAAGAATAAAATTTATTTGTTACAAAAAAATAGCCCAGGGACTCTAACTGACACAATTAGAATGAGAGTAAGAAGTAGTAACCATTTGAATAAGAAATGAATGTATATATGAAATATAATATAATATATATATATATATGTATATTGGTGTACTCTTTCCTCAATTGCTTAATTTAATTGACCAATTGTACTGTGTAAGTAAAATATAAAATTTAACATTGATTTGATTATAAATCTCTAATTATTAATTATGACCCAAAATTGCAAATTAACTTTTTTTTATTACTGGAATTTAGTATTCCTCATTTAATACGTTTTTATTACAAAGTTAAATCTGTTTCAGTTTCATGCAAATAATACTCATTTATTATTCTAAAAAAAAAAAAGTAAATTATTTTCAGTTAAGTCTTACATATTTGACTGAATATTGTATATATATTATACAATTTTTGAATGTAAAAAACTTTATGGTAATTTACAAACTACACATATATATATATAAACCCAGAAAACACTTTTTTTTTTTTTGTTTTTAATCATACCAGATCTTGTTACAGGTTGACCCATTTAAATCTATTACTTGATCAAATGAATATGTAACTAAACTAAACTTAAAAAGAAAAATGATAAATTGATTGTTATTAGAAATTATAATTATTTATTAAGTTCGTAAATTACTTAAATTAATAAAACAAATAATAAATTGTTCATTAATTAATTTTTAATTTTTTTTATTATTTTTACAAAATTTTATCATATTCGGTATGAATTGAAAGTTGGACATTTGAATGGAAGATCAAATTGAATATAATTAGACTTAATCCTGTTTGATTTGGTTTTTTCACTTGTAACTATTTAATTCTCTTCTAAACATTAATTTATTATTTTGGCTTATTTTAACATATTTTTTTTTTAATTACATACCAAACAAGTTAAAAAGGAAAAATGAATGTTTAAAATAGACATAGATTTTGAATTAAATCAGTAAATTGCAATAAACTGAACCAAACTTACTCTAATTTCCTTTTAAAGGATAATATAATAAGCAAAAACCCAGTATGTAGATCTTTGCAGCTATTCTAAAACACTACTTTTGTATTGATGTAAATGTATGTATATGTATATACATATATATATATATGTATATATTGGTCATCCTTAAAGCCAACATGTTTTAATTGTGTAATTTAGTTCATTAAGAAAACAGGTTGACATAGATTTTAAAGACTAAAATATTGCGTTACCTTTGACCCTCAATTACAAGACCAATTGTAATAAGGACAATTAAATTTTAATATTGATTTAATTATATATGTTTAATTATTAATTACTACCCAAAATTTTAATTAATTACCTTCGTATTACTACTATTTAGTTTTGCTCATTTAATACCCAACTATTACAATGCTGTTGCCCTTAATTCAAATTAATTTTCAGTTTCATATAACTAATAATACTCCATTTCTAATTCCCCCAAAGATTTTGATCTTCTCCTTGACAATGGAGTTTGAAACAAAGGTAGGAGATGAAGAAGATCATCACCATCATCATCTTCTTCCTACCCACCAGCAGCCAACTTTCTTCTCTGATCATCACAGTAATTACATGAAACCCTACACGAAAGATGAGTTTCTCTTCGAACCTCCATTGTCAAAGGGAACATTTCTTCAAGATTTCAACCTTCTTGATGATAATCATCATTTTCATGGCCATCATGGGCCATCTTCAAATCTCATATTTGGTGTCCAAACACCATGTTATGATCCTTTTGATGCTTATACCTCATATGGGTGTTCAACCAATTTTGATTTTTACGAGTCTAAGCCGTTAATCTCAGAGATCAATAACGGACATGGCCATGTCATGGATAATTTTCAGAGTGGAGAGTACATGAATCTGCATCATCACCATCATCATCATCATCATCTTCAGTTGGGAAATGTTGTTGATCATATGAATCAGTCAAGTAATGTAGGGTTTGATTACCCATTAGTGAAACCCATGAATTTCATAGTGCCAGATGAAGTTTCGTGTGTATCTGCAGAGGATGATTACTACAAGAAAGCTGATATGCAAAAGAATAGGGTTTTTCCTTGGAAGAAGACATGGAAGACTCGCAAAAGGAATACTATAGTGAAAGGCCAATGGACCATTGAAGAGGATAGGTAATTTATCAAAATATATATATATATATATATATATATATATATATATATTGATAGAATAGATGATAAGATTCTAACTCGAAATCAACTCTAAAATAAAAATATTATATCACATGAGTTAAATATTCTTGGCATATATATATATTCATATTATATGGTGATTTATATATATGTATATCGAGTTTAGTGTCATATATATGTTGATATTGATTAAGATGCTTATATATATATATGTATGTGTGTGTGTATGTAGGCTTTTAGTTCAACTGGTTGAAAAATATGGAGTAAGAAAATGGTCTCACATTGCTCAGATGCTTCCTGGGAGGATTGGAAAGCAGTGCAGAGAGAGATGGCATAACCATCTCAGACCTGATATCAAGGTTTCATTTTCTAATGCCCTTTAATTATGAACATTTCTCTTTCATTTTTTCTCCTCTTCGTACTATTTTCCCTGTCTGCAACCTAAACTCAATGCATCAAAAACCCTACATATATATATATATATATGTACATGCATGCGCATGTATTCATCAATTCAAATATAATGATAAAGCTACATTAGGGGCTGAATATATATATATATATATATATATATATACATATACATACACACGCACACATATACACACATGTATTAGGAAACAAAGAGTTTCTTTAGGGATTGATATTTATTTGCAAATTTACATATCTTTTTCATCAATGCTAAGAACAGCTTTCCAAAGCTGTAGAACTTAATTTGTTTTAAAATATATTATACATCAAATTCTTTCGAATTAGAAAAAATTCAATAAAATTCGATTGTTTCTTTTTAATATATGTACTAGTTGAATAGAATATAAAAATAATTCACTTAAAAATTTCAATAAAATTTGATTATTTCAAATGATCTTTTTCCGATCAAATTATTAAGGATTTAATTGTTTCATTTGCAAAACCAAGATGGGAGACATGAATATAATTTCTTTACAAACAAATAATTATATATATATATATTATATTAGTTAATTGTTTGCATGGTTAACTAAATATTCCAGAAGGATATATGGAGTGAAGAAGAGGACAAGGTGCTAATAGAAGCCCATATGGAAATAGGAAACAAATGGGCAGAGATTGCAAAACGACTGCCAGGAAGGACTGAAAACGCAATCAAGAACCACTGGAATGCCACCAAAAGAAGGCAGTTCTCCAAGCGTAAATGCCGTTCTAAGTACCCTAGAGGTACCCTTTTGCAGGACTACATTAAAACCCTAAACTTAGGACCTCCTCCCACTGCTAGGTCAACAACAAACTCCAAACCTCAAACGACGTCGTCCCACCCTCCACTGTTACAGACGCCATGGACCTTCTGCCCAGATGATCATGATGAGGTTCAGGATCATCGCTTGGTGCAGGATTATGATTTCCACGACTTCGGTTTTGATGATAAGTTGCTTCAAGATCAAAGCTGTACCATCGATTCTCTGCTTGATGATATACCCACTTGCACTGCCGATCCTGATCAGAAACATGAGTCTACTCAGATGGACATGGCTCAGTTCGTGGATTTCAAGAAGGAGCTGGATCTCATGGAGATGATAGCCAATGTTTAAGGCCGTTTGACGTTGGTATATACGTAAAAAAAAATTATATATGTATACGTATTGGCCAAACAAGAAGAAGAAAATTTCGTTAAGGTTGATTTAGAATCTGTCTGGGTCCAACACCTTTCGAGAATATTGGAGTCAAGAGAATGGATGGCAAGAAGAGCTTGGGAGAGACTAAACATATATAAGTATTATTGATTTTTGTTATATTGATTACTTACCATTATATAGACAATATATACTGTCAATTCACTATACTGTTATGATGATAATAATAATGGCTAATAACACATAATATTAGTAATAATAAGAATAATAAAACAGTTACATTATTTGTTGTAGACATAATTTAATTGAATTTTGTATGGAAAAAATTAAAATTAAGGCTTTCCGTTAATTTAATTACGTAAAGAATATTTTTTTCCCAATTTTATTATATAAATTTATATTATTATTACAAAATATATGTAATTCCTGAAAATATAAATATTACTTAAAATGAATTTCATGAAATTATTTCTAAGCATTTTTCACCAAAAAACCCATGTTTCATTTTATTATATATAAAAAAGTATATAAGCTAATTTATATTCATAGTAAAAAATAACAAGTGATAATTACCAAAACTTTTTGGATTATGTCATGAAGAGCCAATTAAAGCTAGATGTAGGACTGAAATAAAGAGCACACCAAAAACTTTAGGCCTAGTATATGCTAGCATAAACTCTTCTATTCATGGATTTTGGCCTGCTTTTTCATGTAGATAGAAACAATATGAAATTCAAGTAGTTGACGATCACCAAAAAAAGAAAAACTCAATAAAATGACATCGACCAATTCCCTGCATTTCCTACCAACTGGATTCCACATTGCTGGGTATTCCATTCAAAATTTAAAGGTCATAGAATTGGGGGCCTAAGCTGAAAACAAGTAGGCAGGCGCATAATGTTACCTGACAAGTGACAAAATTAGGAAAGGGTTCACAAAAGAATAAAAACACCCTCAAGAAAAGGAAAATACAAAATGAAATATATATATATATATATATATTAAAGTGCCCAGCCTAACCTAATAAGCAATTGAATTTGCGAATAGAGTAATCACTTTAACCCACTCAAAATTTTCTATGCGGAATCATGCTGTCTTTGGCTTTGGCTTAATACGCTTCACCCTTGAGTATAGGAAGACCCCTGCAAGAGCCACTCCAGTGCCTGCATCGATTTCAAAACAGGGAATTAACAACTGATGTTTAATATTCTTCCATTACAATACCACAGGTAAATAGTGTACCAAGGGTGTTGATAGGTGAGACAGGTGTTCTGAAGAATAGAACAGAGCTGACAATGACCACCACCCGCTTCACGCAGTTACCCACCGAGTGAGTAACAGGGGATACTCTTTGCAAAATCATATAAGAGACCTGCATTGTACCACCCATACAAAAATCAGCATCAGATCAACCCAGAACAGGAGTGTATATGTTATCTCAAAAGCATTCAAATACTACTCCCTCCCCAGGACTCGGGCATGTTTATGACCCCAAAATTTTTATCTTGTGGATGATTGAGAATTTCATGAGTACATGTTTATGTACTGTAGGAAAACTTAAAGAATATGGCACCGTTCAGAATCCAGGATCCTCTGAGCAAAAGAAATCACAGGACTTCGTAGGTGAAACAAAAACTAGAATCAGAGTCAAGTTTCTCACTGATTCTATCAGTCCAAACGAAAAAGAAATAGATGCATCATTGCCACTATATTAAAAATACTCAATGGAATATTAGGAACTAGCAAGACTGGAAGTATGTTCAAACTTCAAACTTTCCATCTCAGCAAAGAATGGCAACATGCCGAGTCAAACAAATGAATATTTGGTTTGATATTTTGAAACTGTGTCAAGCTCAATTAGACTTGTAGCCTGATTTCGAATATTATTTTAGGTTCCAGTCAGCTAATTTATTAGAAACAGAGTTTGCATAAGATTCGAGAAAAGTTCGATAAGAACCTGAACCTCAATGAGCTAAAACTCGAATAAGTTCAAAATATATAAAATCAAATTTGATCAACTTAATGAAGAGCTAGTTTAACATCCTATTTACTAAATATCTTTAATATACAATTAAAATGTGTTCAGCTGTAAAACATACTATACATTTGCAAGCTTTTGACCCAAATACATATAGGCTCAAATTCAGCTCATTTAATTAAAAGAACTTATTTCAAGCTTGAATAGGACAAGACTTGGAGTTTTGATCGAATTCAAACAAACTTCAACCAACCCAAATACAAACTATTCACAAATATATTTGGCCTGTTGCCACCCCCAATGCAGTTACAGGCACACAGATGAAGCAAAACTCTCGAAACTGCTAGTTATTAAACTCATGTACAAATACATACATAATCCAATGAGAAAGAAAGAAAAGAGAAAAAAAAAAACACTAATGCAGAAAGTCTTACCTGCTGGTACGCATGGAAGCATAATGCAGCAAGAAGAGACCATTTATAGATCTGACTAACATTCAATCCCTGTTATGATAGAGAATGAATGTGATAAGTCATAGAGTGACATAATGACCATGAATTCCAAGCAAAAGCAAAGATATAACAAACTGTACAAGTTTTGAGAAACTAGAGAAAAACTCACAGCTGATTGCAGATACTCAGGAGTAAACTTAACACCTTCCATAAAGAAAGTCACAGGAGCTAACAGGATAAAGGACATGACTGTTATTATCGAGAAAAGGGTAATGTTGTCCAAAGAATCCTGTTACAGAGCAAAAAGTTAGTGATGTGCCAAGAGGAGGTATGGGAACACAAACAAATCAGATAAGATAGTCCAATACATTTGAGGAGAGTTTGATACAAGCAGCTGACTACTAAACTGGTTTATCGCAATGAATAAGTAAAGTAACATCCAGTCAGAATCAGAAATTATTAGAGGTTTGATAATCTAAACCAGTCTGAATTAGACCAAATTTTTTTAAGAATTTAAAGCTGCACACTGGACAGAATAAATGGATGAGCAACCCAGTGTGTATCAAGACCTAACCTTTTTAAAGACAATAACCAACAACAATGAGATTAAAACACCATTTTAGACCTTGTAGCAAGTATCCTAACCACTGGACAGCAATTATTTCAAAAAAAGAAAAGACCTTGTAGCAGTCACACTTTGTTGAAAGTAACAAAAAATCGACCCCAAAAGACTCACCCAATATCTAAAATATTACATATATATACACACACACTTTTTCCTTTTTCAAGATGGCTGCAGCTGAGGTGTAAAGAAGAGGGAGATTATTTGTACTCGTTCTTTTTCAGGGTTTCAAGAAGCAGAACTAGATGTTTCCTTTCTTTCCTACTTTATTTTCTTCTCAAGGCTACTTCCATGATTCTTGGACAATGCAATCATATAATTCTTCACCATTTCCATCCCTAGTACTATTCAACTGACAAATCCAAAGGCACAATGGAGACTTGAACGAGATTTTTTAAAACAAAAAAAAAGATGAAGTTATTTTTAAGACTAAAAAAATGATGAAACAAAGATATGAAATTTTTAACAAAAGAAAGCAGATCATAGAATTGAAGGAATTCCAAACTTCTACTTGTAGAGAAAACTTTCAAAGTCCCTAGATACAATGGGGTAGACAATTCAAGACAGTTAGATTACCTCTTTCTTAACCATAACCTTCTTACTAAGGACATTACGGGATTGGTTTGTCAAGTTGGAAGCCATCGCACTCCAAAAACCAGCCCTGTTACAAAAACAAAGAAATCAAATGTTAGTTTCACAAACTAAAATAACCACCTCAGATTGTTTCTAGATAATACTTCTTTGCACCATATGTAATCATAACCGAAAACTCAAGCTGCAAATATGTTTACCAGTTGAAAGAGGCTTCAGTTACAGATGCAAGTGCCACACCACCAACAATTGGTATAAGGGAACTAACCACCCAGATAGTAGGCATCTGTATCAGAGCAATGATAAATGAAATCAAACTAGAACAACTCAAAGTGCAGTTATTAGTTAATATCAATACAAGAACCATCCATTTTTCTCCCAAATAAATAATTTTGACATGCTAATCTTTGATGGTGGTCATGCAACAAAAGAAATTGGGAACTACAAGCAAACATGTCCACAAAACTTTGAATCAACAATTGCAACTGAAATGAGCACAACAGTTCACCAATCCACTCCATTGTCTCGAAATGATGCAAACATATGATAAGACATCCAGTTGAAAAAAAAGGATAAAAAGGTCCTTACTTCCCCTAGAAACATTGCAGAGAGCAGAACAGAGAAGAAGGGCTCCATAGCTTTGACTGTGTGAGTAAATGAAACAGCCACTTTGCCAAGACTCATATTAGTAAAAAGGTTTCCCAGTGTGTGCACCACTGCAAGTGGCAGGATAGCTGCAAGCTGTCAATTGAATAAGCTGCACTAAGCATCACTTCCTAAAAGAAAAAATGATTGGAAACAAAAAAAGAGCTATGACACATAAAAGTACCTGGGCACCAGTGACTTTCGGCTTCTTATAGAGATTCAGAGTCCACATTAAAATGACAAGCACGGACCCGATGGCAAATTGAACAAGAGTCACGGTCACTGGGAACGGGTACTTTTTCAACACCTGGAAAGGAGAAGACATTAGATAACTGATTTATTCTCTTTAGTATTGCAGCACGATACATACAAGCATCAATGCCAAAGAGACCAATGAGTAAAATTTATGCATGCCTCCGGTCATCTTCAACCAAATAACCCCTTACCGCCAACTTTTCGCTTGTCACTATCCACTTTTTTTATCCGTTTCCTATTTTTTAAAAATCGAATGCAACAAAACGAGCTTTACTGGATATGAACACTTTAAGAAAAGACTTCATCCAAAACAATCACAAATATCAAGAATAAGAATCCATGCGAACTTCATTTTCGGCGTGATCTAAACATTTCAACCTCAAAAATCATATAATTGGACATATTTTCCCCATCATCAGTCCATTCGATGGGCGTCCGATTCCAAATAGGAAAAGAAGAATGAAATCACTTACAAAAAATCCGAAAATTAAAATGAAGAGACGAAAAACACGGACATCGAACCTGCTTGTTGTAAATATTGAAGTAGATGTTGAAAATGTACCACATGGCAAACAGCAATCCAAGCACGAGAGTCTTGGATACGCTCTCAGACTTCTCGCCCTCGCTAGCGGCCTCGGGGAAGGCATTAGCTCTGACATGAAAGCGGTCAGCTCGGGCCTCGGGAGAGAAAGAAGGAACATTGGACCAGGGCCGGAGCCGCGAGGCAGATGAGGACAAGGACCAGGAACGACGTGGCAAAGAAGGAAGCGAAACGGCATTGAGAGGTGCGGCGAGATCGTGTGATTTAGAAGTAGAAGAAGAAGAAGTAACAGAAGAGAAGCGTAAAGGATCAAATCTAGGGTTCTGGAGTGAGAGTTTTCGAGGTCTGAGGAGAGGAAGAGAGGGAGACAGAGTGAATGCCGCGCTCTGCATCTTTATCCCGTCTGTACACCTCTCTGCGCGTGTGTCTTCTTCTCCGTCGAGATCTGAATGAGAAAGTATGGATGGGAGAGAATTTTCTTTTCAGAAAGGAACGTTGGAGAGTCCGCCGAGAAAGAGAGAGAGGTTGGTGTAACAGCAGGAAGAGCAACAACTACAAATTACAAAATCTATTGATATTTTTTATTAAAAAAAATAATAATAATAATAAAATTTAAAACGATGTATTGAATATTCCAATTAATATTTGTTTTTTATTTTTTTATTGAGAGAGAAAACAAATAAATAATATCTAAAAATAGAGAGCTTTTTGACAGGTGAGGAGGAGGCTTGGTTGGTGGGGTAAAATGGAAAACATGCTTAATCAAAAAGGTCCAGGTTCATTAGCCACTGATTGTTTGGTAGCGCCAACATTTTTATCCCCGTCGGGGATACGAATCAAGAGGCATGCTCTGCTTTCTTTTTTCTTCAGTAGGTCTAAACGGTGCGTATCGTGCTCTTTCGGTTAACCTGCTTTTTTCCCTGATTAATGTAAGTTAATCTAAATAATTAAGTAAAAAATAAGACAAGAATTACAGAACCATAAAAATGATAAGGAATTAAATAAGATTGTTTTCAGTTTGAGGATGAAATTATGGAAATTCAATCTTCACAGTAAATAATTGCTTTTTTCAGTTGAGTTTTCCTTCTTCGTTACATTCTTTAAGGTAGTATTTTATAAAAATATCATGTCAGCATTTTACGAAAAGTCTTTCATTTATGCTGAGAAGGAGTTGAAGATAAAACAATCATCAACTTTAAAAATGGAAGGTTGAATAAGCAGCCGGTATAGCAGATGCATTGAGCTAAAGTATGTATTAACAGCACTTCATGTTCAATCAATACATCAGCTTTCATTCTGGCACTAGCAGACAACTGGCAGAGAGAAGAGAGAACCTGCAAGTTGCCATTATTGCTCCAACGCATACTTCTGCTGCAACTCGAAACATCGGCTTAAACCTACAATGCAACCAACTAACAGGGAAAAGCATAGCAAAAAGTTTTCTAATCCTACAAAAGATTTGAACGAATATGCAAATATCAATCCAGAAATCTAAACAAATAAGAAGGCGCTGAGTGTGTTATTTCCAATATGATTTGGGTGGTTTTCTAATACAGAAAACCACACAAGTTCAGTAATTTTCACAAACTCAAATCCAGCAGACATAGAAACATTAAATTAAATCGATTCCCAGCAGTTAAGGGAAATGACAATTGCAAGTGTTCACATACATATCGTACCATTATTTTTTCTTAAGACATGTATACTTGAACACTGGCAGTTTTCATTACATGGCAGATAGGACAGACTTCAATAAACCCTTCACAATCTGTACACAAGCACAAATGTCTACACGGCAATAATAATACAGAGACTTCCTTAACCTTGCAACTTCGGCAGATCATTTTCTTATTTGTGGAATCTGACTTTCCAGATCCATCCACAAAGTTAAGATGGTTCTGATTTGTGTAAGAGGCTGTATCATCAACCTCACTGTCGCCACAGCCTTCCTTAGCATGCATTGCACCTTGGGCCATGACCTGCTTCAGATTGCTCCTTAGAACGTTGACCATAGACTCATTGTATTTGGCTCTGCACTGCCAGGACTGAACCTCCATACTAGCCTGCTTTATTCTCTCCACAAGTTCTTTGTTCTTGCGGCTCACACTTTCTAATTCAAGATCCTTTTCTTGTAACTTCTTACCAACCCCTTCCTCTACTGCACTCAGGAAAGAAATTGTGTGCCTATGTTTCAGTTCCCGCACACCTTTCATGATATTCTCTTCCTGAGTAAACAAAACAAGATGTCGATGTTAAAGCTACATCCCAAATGGCATCATAATATTATTGGTAATTAACTAATTATCAGTCAGATATAAAGCTTTCACAAGCACCAGTGAAACCAAGGTTTCACGTTGAACCACTTGAAGTTGCATGGTTCAGGGCAATAAGCAATTCATTAAACATAAATACGAACTGTCAAAAGGTACTTCACAAAAACATATTATGTATTGTCAGAGTTACTAAGATAAACATCAGCAGAAACTAACAGGCCAAAGCATTTACACACAACAAACACACACTCGGTAGCAGAGTTCAAGAACTGAAAATAAAGACAGAATATGAAGCCACATTCCTCAAATATCATTAACCCATAGTTGTCCCTTAAACCTCGGTTGACTAGGGCCAGAACAGTAGAAACTGACAGAATTTTGATTCTTGGAATCAGATTATTTACCTGAAGTCTGATATAGCGATCAAGTTCTTCTTTCTGTCTATCAATCTCAACCTTAATATTGTCAAGAGATGCCATAACTGGCAGACCCCCGTTCATGCTTTCACTCACAGAGGTAACAGAAGAATTGTGCTCATCCTCCTCATATGAAAGTCTCAACCCAGTTGATACAGGATTTGGATTCACAAAACTACAAGGTTGACCAGATTCATCTTGATGGAAGTTCTTGTCTAAAGGCACATGACGCTTTTGTTGTCGAATAGTTGAATCTGCCTCCCTGCCTCTCTTTACAGGACAGTCTGTACGCATTGCATGTTCATTTCCCATGTAGTTCAAGGAACCCACATTGCACCCCGCAGGGACTAAAAAGAACAACAATAATTTATTTGAGCAAATTAATCAATCAACAGGATGGAACACATATTATAAACAGGTAGGACCCTAATTTTTTATCCATAACGCATATAATAGCAAAAATGAACAATAGAAACCATGCAATCAGAAGCAAAAGATTACAGCACATTTCCATGTATGGATAAGGAAGGATTCTGACTTTACAAAAAGTATTTTTTTCTCCACCCAGAAGCTTGTAACAATTTCATTGTAAAGATTACCCCCAATCTAGTTCATGAACTTGCCTTTATTTTTATTTTTTGAGTGTCCTTGGTCTAACTTTTGCACCCTAAGACTACACTCTTCCTACCAATCTTAAGGACACACTCCCTACATATGCTTAGTACATTCAAAAAAAATTTTCTCCTCAGAGTACTAGCTAGAATAGTAAAACTCAGACAATCAACGTGATCGACGTATAAGGGGCACATCCTTGCCAACCGGAGTAATCCTTATGGGTAACATGCCTTTATTTTAGATGATAATACTACATAGAAATTAAAGAAAGTGAATTTGCTGTATCATTTCCCCATTCTAACAATAAATCATTATGGTACACTAACCATATTGTGCCCATTTAACTGTTAGACTAACCATGTTTGCTAGATTAGATGTCTACAACATCCAAAAGTTTATAAATATTGCACCTCACAAACCAAACATTTCTTACTCTTAGTCTCAGAAACTAGTTGCATGACAACTTTATGCCACAAAAGTAGCTTATTGACTTTTAAGCATCCATAAGATCTTATCAAAACCTCCAACCCAAACCTAGGAGCTCTACCGCATTAATCTTGTAATCAGTGAAAGTAAACACTATAGTGATTTGAAGTTTTAGTTAAAGTTAAGTGTAACTTAAAAAATATAAGAAAACATTCATGTCCTACAATTTTAAGGTGAAAATTAAATCTGACACAAGTTTGGATGAACTAATAGGGTCAATTGTATCTTCCTATATCAAACTTGGCAATTTCCTACTGGATTATTTTCTTTTTCTTTCTTTTGAAATCCATCAATTAGAGGACAGACACGCTAATATCTATCCTGCTGAAGCCAGGGATACAAAAAATGGCTCTACCATGCCAATCCTGACAGACCACACCCAGCCCAATCCGTTCATCATTATCCAACAACGCATCTGTATTTAATTTGAATATCCCTCTGGTGGACATGTCCATACAGTTGGATTACCAGAATGGCTTTGTTCCCATAGACTGGTTTTGCACTATTAATTGCCTCATCAAATTCCAGCAAGCATGTTTATAACTTCATAAATAGAGAATGGGGGGGGGAGAATTTTTCGCTCTTATGGAGCCACTCATTTCTACTCCGCCACAAGCCCCATAACGTTATCATAGACCAAGTGCGGTGCTTATGGGCAACAAGAAGATTAGACCATAACCAATACCCAAATGACACGTAAAGTTAAGCACCCCTTGCAGAGGGCATATTTTCCGCCATGTTCTCACATAAGCAAAATCTTCAAATAGGTGCTCCATTTCCTCTGTTCACCACACATCTCGCATATTGTATCTACAAGCATACCTTTCTGAGCTAACCGATGTTTCACTGGTATGGTACTTCTGCATAGGCTCCAAACAAAGTTACAAACCTTTGGCATTATTGTCATAATTTCCACCACTTTGAACCCTCCCCATCAGAACATGAATTTTGCCTCCCACTATTCGTTTTCAACCAGGCATGAAAATAGTCACTTTTGACAACATGACCATCTTTTGTTCCTTTCTATAGCAGTTTTTCAGGAGATAATCTACTGCTCAAATGGATACTTACAATACTTTGCACACATGAGGCAAGAACAAACTGTTGAGTAATTGTACGTTCCATGATGCTTGACTTTGGACAATGAGATCTGCCTCCAGAGTAGGGTATTGATGTGTATGTTGGATGTCCAGAAACGGCCACCTGGTTGAGAAGGCACCCAATCATCCTCGCAAATCTCTATTTTCTGTCCATTCCCCACCCACTGACTAATTGCTAGTGTATTCCTGCTGGACTAATTGATACTCTCAAAAACTCTAACACACGAATTCTATAGATTGTGGGGTACTAATGAGATCTCAGTGACACTATTACTATCAATTAGTTGACTAACATTGCAAAAAAAATCATGCTTTAGAAAAATACCTTCATGGTATGCATATTTCTATTATTTTAAAATTTTAGCATATTTTATAAATTAACCCACCCATATGTTGCACGTCCAGAGGACAACACAGACTAAGGAAGATTTATGCAAGCAAAAAATTAAACAATGTGAAGATGGGAGACATATCACAATAGAATAGGAGAAAACAGAAAAAAAAACTGTAGTTTGTAACCAGAAGAGGACGCAATAGTGAAAATTGACAATAAAGATAATATTCACTTGGTTAAAGAGAACATAGCACAGAAATCAAAAGAAAATAGATTTGCATTGTCATACGCTCATCAATACAATAAGACATTCTTCATCCAAAGATTATTCAAAAATATTAACAAACATGTTTTTAACACAAGTAGAGAGCTTTCCCTTTTTTTCCCCGACACGTGAGCTTTCCCTTAATGTACTTCCACAAAGTCTTAATAACTGTCCTCTCCTATCTCTCAACAAATACTAAATGTTCCTACAAATGCTCCATGAATTTTATTTTCAAAAGAAAATGCTCCATGAACATATTAGAAGCCAGCAATTAAACTCAATTTGACAATCTTATTTCAAGCATTAACCTATGTTATTGTGTGATTCACATAAAACTGAAAAGATAAGCAATAAAATGAAAAATAATTATTGATAACACTCACGATTGCCAAATAACTGAAGCTGAGGTAAGACAGTTGCATCACACTGGAAGCGATTGTCATCAACGAAAACGGGGAAAACAAGATTGTTATTATCACCTCCGAACATATTCCTACAGAAAACAAATAAATAAGATCATCGCTGCAAGTAATCCATAAAGTTGACTTAAAAGGAATCTAAACACAAGCAGCTTCACAAGGAACAGAATAAAGACATGTACAGCATTATAACACTACCAAAGACTTGATAATGGGTGAAGCAACTTGAGTTCTGAAGCTTCTAGAAAACGCAAGAGAATCAAATGACGCATTGGCAAAAATATCTTAGATTCCTTTTCCTTGTTGTAATAAAACGAGCTTCCCCAGATTAGAACAATATATTGAATTGGTAATAAAATTTATTTGCAAGGAAGAAAAAGAAATTAAAAAAAAAAAAAAATGGGAACTTGCTTGTTGGGGATCTCAAGAAAGAGGAGCCCCCACTTAAGCTGAATTCGCAGAAGTAGCTAATAAAAAAGGAGCTTTTCCTTCAATATCAAGACACGAATTTAATTTTTACAGTTTTTCCTTAGTTTTTCTCATTTCTCAGCAACCAAACAGAATGCTTGCAGAGCTGAAAATCTAAGTGCAAAAAACAATGATTTCACGCAAGGGGTCTCAATATTGGAACATGTAGGTTAAATCACACAACGAAAATCCGACCTTAATAAACCAAAAAGGAAATAAAAATAAAATCTGTAGAAAACAATAGCCGGATAGATATTCATCCAATCAAAACATCGTTAAAATCAATATATAAACAAAAGCACGATCCTATCCTCTGATCCAACAATCCTCCCCCCCTCCCCGACTTCAACAAGAAAACCCCTGATTAAACTAAGGGAAGAATATAGAAGACACCCAACCAAAGAAAAAACAGAAACGGTCTAACTTAAAATGCACGAGATAAATAACCTCCAACATGAGAAGAAAAAAAAAAAAAAAAGAAAGAAAGAAAACCCAAATCGATCACACTAAAATTGAAGACCCCACATAACGAAAAAAGAAAATCTTACAATCTCTAATCCTTGAGAGTCGAGTCTTCCGGGGAAACAAACAGAAGAGAATCGGATCAAAGGCAGTTCCAATAACAGATAGGGCGGGGCGAGAGTGCGATTAGGAAGAATCTGAAGAAAAAAAAAGGGGGATGGATGAAAAGAGAGAAGATGGATAAAAACGAAGATAATGGGTTAGGAAAGAAAAAGAGGCATCACTAAATACGAAAATGGGAAAAAGAACGAATGGTGATGAGTGGTTATGGTGAAGGTGAAGAAGAAGAAGAAGAAGAAGAAAACGGATGATTCCATTTGTACGGGAAGTCTTTGCTGGTAGTGTTGGTATTGGCGTTGCTGTTGATGTTGGTGTTGTAATCTTCATGGCTGTCTAGACCTTAGCGCTGTCTCTCTCTCTCTCTCTCTCTCTCACCTCGTCAGCTTTCTTTTCGTTTTCCAACCGGTAATAAATATTTTCTTTTCCTTTTTCCCATTTCTTGAGAATTTCGTTTCTTTCGCCTTTAGCCTTTAACCTTTAACCGCCTCTGCTTCTCTTTTATTTATTTATTTATTTATTTTCACAATTTCAGTATATGGAAATTACAATAATACCCCTGGTGTCACTCTTTATATTTGAGTGGGGACAGATATGGATTTTCCTTGCTTCAAGAATCTTATAATTCGGGTTTCACATAAAACTAAAAATATTAATAATAATTAGCCTTAAAAATTCAAATTAATTAATGCAAATTGATTGAATTAGTCTTGGTAGGGATGTACATGTATACACACGAATTTTTGTTTAAGTAAATAAATTAAGTTGATTTAAACGATCACAAAACTTTATTTATTAAAATATAATGATTTATGGCCTTGTAAAAATGATTTTTTTTCACGGATTCTACTGTCATGCCTTGTAATTTTCAACTATAAATTAAATGTAATTACTTTTATTTTCATTCG